CTTCAGCTAAGATGATTACATTTAAAATTAAAATATTTAAATTAAAGTGATAATTATGTAATTTTTATATTTATCTGTCATCCTAAAATTATAAAATATAATAAATGAATATTAGAGTATCAAAATATAATATATATCTAAAATCAATAAATACAAAATTTTATTAATACTTTTTTATTCATATATAGGAGGTTTGCTAGAAAAATAGGATTTAAGCATTTTTTATTAAAATTTTAATTTTTTATTACATTTTAATTTTTGATAATATTAGATTAAAATGCAATAAAAATTAAAATTTTAATAAAAAATGCTTAAAGTCATATTTTTTTAACAAAGCTTTCATATATTAATTATTATATATTTATTAAATTTAATTTTATTTATGTTATTTATGTCACTTTATAGGAATAAAATATTTTTTATAATTATTTAAAGGTTTACACATTATTAATTAAAATAATAATAAATCAGCTTTTGTTAAATAACATTAATTGTTTTCAACTTTATTACTATGACATAGTATTTAATTATATGTATCTTTTAAAAGAAATAAAATACTTTAAAATAATTTAACTTTATACTATATATACTAAAATATCTATTAATCTTAATTAGAAGATTTTTTTAAATTAATAAATTATATAAAATAACTATTAAAAGAACACTAATATTTAAATATTTATTTTTAAACCAATGAAATTTTGTATTAATAAATTTTTAGGATTTTATTTTTTAGAATATATAAGGTGAATGTTGCGAAAAGTGACCAAATTGAAATTTTTTTCAAAAATTATTTCTAAGTAAAATAGATGTAATTTTTATTATTTAATCCAGAATTTTAATTATTTTTAAAATTTTTTTTTATAATTTAGTCCTTTTTCGTAACTTTCACCCCATATTTTTGAAATTATAAAATTTAGGATTATAATATTTTAGAAATATAAATTATCAGGATTATAGGTTTTAGCATTTTAGGATTACAACATCTCAGGACTTTATATTATAGATTTTAGGATATCAGGATAATATATTAGATTTTGTATTTTAGAATTTTGCATAAATTTTAAATTAAAATCATTTTATTAGTATTAATTTTTATTAGTTTATTATTTAATTGAATTTGTACTTATTTATTTTATTCTCAAAAGTGTTGTGATTTCTTTGCAAAAATGTGAAATATGTAGTTATGATTCCTGCATTCCTTATATTTTTAACATAATCACCTCACATTTAAAGGTAAAGATGAGTCAGTTAATACAGAGTGTGGCTAAAGTATCTGAACACTATAATTAACATCAGGTATCTCAAAACTCACCAATTAGAATTAGACCAATATTTAATATATCATAAATATAATCTCAAAGTATAATATATTCAAACTTTAGATAATTTGAATCATTAGATATTGAGATATTAATATAAACGTTAAATTAAAAATAATTTTAAATATAAATTTTAATTAAAATTTTAAATGTTAAATTGATTTTTATAATATTTAATGATTCAAATTAAATAAAATTTTAATAAATAATAAATAAATATTATATTTATAATATTTCAAAATTTGAGTTAATTTGAATTACTGGCTGTCAAGACAATTAATATAAAAATAAATATTCTAAAACTTTAATATTTTTTGCTTTTTTAATATTCTTTTATATAATATATGTCAAAATATCAATAACTAGTAATTTAAATTAGCTTAAATTTTGAAGTATTATAAATATAATATTCATTTATTATTTATTAAAATTTTATTTAATTTGAATCATTAGATATTATGAAAATCACTTTAACATTATTTTAAAATTTTAACTAAAATTTATATTTAAAGTTATTTTTAATTTAATGTTTACATTAATATTTCAATATCTAGTGATTCAAATTATCTAAAGTTTGAATATGTTATACTTTGAGACTGTATCTAAGATATATCAAATTTTAGTTTAATTCTAATCGGTATGATTTGAGATATTCAATGCCAAATATAGCGTTCAGATACTTTTAACCACCCTCTGTAAATCTACATTATATGATTTTTTACATTTTAGGTAACTTGTTTGAAGTGAAGCGAAGAATTATAAAAGTTTAGAAGCTCAGATTTCTCAATCACTTCATATAATGTCAACTAATGAAATAGTAAAACATATATTTTTTTAAAATAGTATAATATTTGCTCTAAACTAACCATTTCTAATAAAAGTAATATATCAAAAATTTGAATATACAGTAAAACAAAATCATTAAGATACTTGTATTTTTTATGTTAATGCATATGATATACCAGTTCTGAAAGAATAAATCATTCATTGATTTGAATTTGATCGAATTAAATTAAATATAAATTTAATTTGTATTTGATTTAATTTTCAAATTGAATTTGCATGCTATTTGAATCATTTTATTATTAATAAAAGTCACAAATTTTCTTAATAATTATAAAATTGTAATAATAAAAGTTTTCTTTATGATAAATTTTATTTTATTGTATGATTAATATCTAAAAGGTAAACTTAATAAATTGTTATATAAATATAAAAGATAAAAATTACTATAATAATTATAAAATTAATTTAAAAATTTTTTTTTTTATATTTTAATTTTTTATAAAGTAAATCAGAAGAGATTTATAGTAAATAAGCAGACAAATTTGCTTGTAAATCTCTACTATCTAAGGGAGGAATAGTGTAGTTTAACTAATAATTATGATTAATATTAAATAAAAAATCCTTGTGATTTATGAGATAAAAATAAGTAGAAAGAAAGGAAAGGAAAAGAAAAAGAATAAAAAACTCCTATAAAAACTTTTTGCCTGAATATTTCCATTATTTCTCCGTGGCTTCTGTAAAAATTCCATGAGCCTTTCACAGAATCCTGTAAATGAGATGAATTTTCCATGATTGAAAATGAGTCCTTTACGAAAAAAACATGGAAATAAAACACAGATCAACTTTTTTTATCAAGAAAAAACTAAAGAGATCTAATAAAAATTATTTCATCTATCTCTTTTGTCTTTTTTGTGATTATAATCTTTCTAATTAAAGCTTAGAAATATATCTCTATTATCATTATTTAGAGATGAATTTATTCTTATTTACATTTTTTTTTAAAGAATCCGGTTATTTATATTGAATTTTATTTAGTTAGTAGAAACATCACAAATTAATAATCATAATTGTATTATAAAATTTTAAAATATTAGTCATTAAAATAACCATCAAAAGATGATAACTTTCCTTTGCAAAAGTAATCTGTCAAAAGTAAAAGATATAATTAGTTATTAAAAATAATAATAAATTGAATTTTCTTGTCCTTTCGACCTTTAATGTATCTTCGAAAGACTAATAAAATTTGACTGCGCCTAATTTGATCGCTCGATCGATTTATGGCAAATGCCGCAGTAGAACTTTTGGAAGGAAAAGTTCATTATAAATAGACTCTGTATTGTTTTGTATTTTTTTAGGATAGAATTATGTAGATTCTTTCCTCATAAGGCTTATTACAAAGCGCCGACTGAGGGAAGCGCTAGTTTGATTTTATGTCCTTTTTCTGTACTTTGATATTCTTTTATTACAAATAGTTAAAAAGTGATATACTTTCATCCTAGTGGTCGGTTAAATAAACAAACCTTTGATTATTAATTACCTCTCATACGAAAAGAAATATTTTAATGAGAAATACACGTTTTCACAATTGCCGCGGAGCCAGGAAACGACAATTAAACAGACATGAAGAGAAGAGGTACAATGCTTACTGGAACATCACCTTAATTCGTAAAACGATTTTTTAGTTACAAATTAATAATTTTTACAATGAATTGTTTAAATATAGCCCACAAGCTAACGAACATGTTACAAGAAACAAAAATTCAAGAGTTCAAGAATTAACGCATTGAACAAAAAAAATTCTTTAGATTATGACTAAATCATTGAATATTTGGTCGCATCAGTCAAGGATTTAGTAGAAAAATATTTTGACCAGTCCAGTCATTCACTGGATTGAATAAAATTTGCAGCATCCACACGAGTGAAATGTAACAATTTCAATTTTATTATTTACATACAAATTTGGGAATATGAACTTTATAATTTTACAAACATACAAATCATCGCATAGCAAACTATTGCGTAAGTAAAAAAATTGTACAATTTGTTAATGAGAATAGGCAACCAAAAATCCGTATAATGTGTTTTATCTAATCTTAAAATGTTAAAATTCGATGTGCGCCAATCTATTTATTTTTCAAAGAAAGAAAAAAGATAATATACCAGATTTCCGAAGTAAATTAAAAAAGGGTTGAAGGCATACAATTGCTGGTAGCACAATTCAAATTCAAGGTAATAAGCCTAATCGAACATTCTAGGTAATACGGATTGTCATATCTCATTAATTCATTAATAGGAAGTATACCATTAAATTGTTTAATTTATAATTAAGTTTCATGTTATTGAAGTATGAATTATATTTGATTATTCAAAAAAAAAAAACCTAAATGAAGAAACCTTTTTACATAATATTACCTCCTGAATATTTTTTACTAGATCTCGAATTTTTAACATCATTACGAATTTAAAACAATCACTATAGTCCAATTTAACCAGATTTGGGCCTTGATGAATCTGATTCACAATTGTTTGTTGCACGTAGAGGTACATGTGCATAAAGCATAATGCATAAATGCATTAAATAAAAATTCTAATTTCCGTTAATATATATTAATTTGAAAGAGATCAGCATTACCATAAATGTAAAATAATGAAAGATTTTGGATTTTCATTACTTTAAAAACTTTAATAAAAAATTTAAAATACTGTACATAAGTAATAAATTGGATATAGTGATATTAAACACTTATCACATTAAGGGGGGTTTTGTTTTAATAAAAATTTATTAAATAATAATACAAACATAATAATAAAATTAATGTATAATATGATGGTGATAATAATAAAATTATGATGTTCCTCTTTAAAAAAGATTTTCTTTTCACTCAAGTTCTGTCAATTACGAATATTTACAAGTTTTTTTATACAAATACCATAAGGTCTAATATCATCACTATTTGGACTTATCCAATATTCGCCATATTGGGTAGTGATCTTTTTTAAAGTCCTCGGATTCACCCTATTTTGAAAAACTATGCAATAAACTTCATTCTTGTGAATAAATCTACTAGCAAATAAATAAGCAACATTGATATCTGGTGTGGAATAAATTCCATAACCAAACATAAACCGTTTTCCTTTTCTAATATCAAACCCGGTTTCAGCGATCGATTTAGCATTAAATCTATTGGTACCATGATAAGATACCGGCCATTCCGATGGATCGGATTCGTAACGCCATGAATTGTTTTTGACTTGACCTAACCAACTATTATCGGCTCCATACTTATTTAATACTCTAATGGCTATACGTTTCCATCCACATGGTCTTCGATATAAATGTGATCCTCTCAGAAACTGTTTGTCATCCTTTATGTTTGTGAAATCATAATCATAAGCGGGATCAAGAAAATTGGAATCTATAAAATTAATCACATTCCCATTATCCCCAATCAAATAAATGATTACATTCTTAACTAAAATTTGATAATCTTGTAACAATGTATTATCCTCCAAATGGACTCCTAAATATGTTAATTGTTGTTTATTCCTTGGGATCCCGGTTTTGTTTTCAATATGACATTTTATCACTGAAATTGGTGTAATGATTGGTACGTCGGTAATTGTGATGATTTGTCCAGATATTGTATTGACATAAATATTTATAACAGGTGATTGTTGAGAAAATCGATGTTGTAATTGCTTAGAAATTTGTTGAATTTGAGGAGTTTGCGTTCGAATTTGTTTTACTTGAGGAATTTGATGAATTTGCGACTGAATTTGTTGAGTTTGAGAAATTTGCGTCTGAATTTGTTGAATCTGAGAAATTTGCGGTTGAGTTTGTTGAATTTGAGAAATTTGCGGAATTTGTTGAGTTTGAGAAATTTGCGGCTGAATTTGTTGAATTTGAGAAATTTGCGGCTGAATTTGTTGAATTTGAGAAATTTGCGGCTGAATTTGCTGAATTTGTTGAATTTGAGAAATTTGCTGCTGAATTTGCTGAATTTGTTGAATTTGAGAAATTTGCTGCTGAATTTGCATCTGAATTTGTTGAACTTGAGGAATTTGTGATTGTTGAGGAGTTTGTACTGAAATTGATTGCAAATTGTTCATTCTTGTAGCGGGAGGAATGTACGGGGCATATCTTAACGTGTAAGTACGAGGACATCGCATAGATGAAGAACGTATATTAAATTGAGAAGAGGAATTTCCAGTTTCGCATTTAAAAGAGGGATGATCATTATTGTGTAAACTTCCAACTAACTGAGAATTATAAAGAGAGAAGATATTTACAGTTTGATAATTATTATAATAATTCAAGTTCTTATCGAATTGAGTTATAACCTGTGTACCTAACAAAGATGTGAAAGCAGATGCTAAAATAGCTTCGTTGAGCGAATTAGACATTTATTATAGAGAATAATTTATTAACTTTGAATTTTGAATTATTTAATTTTTAATTTTAAATTTGAACTTTGTAATTTCAAAATTTCAAACCAAGTATATATAACCATTTTATAGATATAATAAAAAATTTTTTATTTCATTCATTTCGGAAGTATCGTCCGAAAAATGATCGACGACCGGAATTCACATTCCAATAATTCAAAGTATTTTTATTTTATTCAGTAACTTTATCATTGGAAAATTTTGGTCACTAGCAAAATGCTAAATTTGGAAATGTAAAATGACATTCAACCTTTCATTATTTTAAACCCATTCTGAACCGTAATTCAATTTATTCTTCAAATTTTGAATCCCAAACATTGTTGATCCAGACACAAGTATTTTAAAATCCAAATCGTTCGTTGTTGAGATACTTCAAAAGTATTTGATAACTAGTATTTTATAAAAAGTCAGAATGCCGCTTCTTAAAGGGTATTAAAATAATTTGCAAATTTTTAAAACAAGAAGACGTATATTTGACATACTTTATCAAACGTAGTTAAAACATAAAACCATCAAAATTACATTCATAAGTTTTTGAATCTGTCGACTCAATAATCATTATAAGACTAATCTAATGCGTTATTCAATTCCATAAATTAGATATTTGACACATTCAAAAGAGCATGCCTGCAAATGTGTTTTAAGCGAAATAACCTCCTTAAATAATGCTGGACGGCTTATTCCAATAGTGACGTTCAATATCGTATAATACATTGAATAACTCATGATATATAAAATGTTGTAAAAAAAAAAGAGAAGAGAATACTTAAAAAATAAAACAGCATAAATTTCACCATTATACACAATGCATATATATTTATATTTATTATTATTTTTTATTTTATCTTGAAAAATCATGTTAACTAATACAAATGTTTATATCACATTATAAGATCGATTATGATTAAATATATTTATAAAATTAAAGAAAAAAATATTTCCGAAGAAATATTTTCTTTCAAAAAGGAAAGAGCTTTCTATAAACAGGGATGCTAAGCCGGACTTTTGACAACCTTTTCCTCCGGTAGTTTAAGCCATTTTACCTAATTGCTTTAATTGCTAACTCCTGAAAAAAAAAGGGGTCAATATAGTCTTACCATAAATAGATATACATAATACACAATTGAATATATTAATTACTACACCTTTTTATCATGGAAAAGTCGAGCCAAGAAAAAGTTGACCTGCGATTGAATTGTCAGTTTCGTCAATCTCCTGTAACGGTAACTGCGCAATGAGATTCAAGGTCTCATCATTATTGATAGATACACTTCCAACATTTCGTTGTCGAATTCTTGTAATAACGTTCCTTTGGCGACGTCGAAGAATAACCCGATTATTAAGTGCATAAGTATTTAGATATAAAATATTACCTAAAGTCATTTTTTAGATTGAAAATGAAGGAAGTGTGTAGAAAAAAAGACGTTGTAAACAAGCTATATTTATAGGTAATGATAAATATAATATACGAATTAAATAAGGAACTTATTTTTCTAATAATCGATAACATGCATGACTTATAATACACCCATTTTAAAGAAGTTGTTAAGGAAAGAAAAAAAAAGAAAAAAGGTAAGTATGTTACGCATCATGGCTGACATTAACTATACTTAGGGCTGTTCATAAAATACTGTATATACAGCGTTTTAAAATATATTTTCGAGTTTTATCGATAAGAACATCTCAAGCACCGTGCATGTTTTAATGTAAAATGATTCCGAATTAAAAAAAAAGTCGATTTCACTAACTATGTTTCTAAATACAGTACTTATGTACTATCAAAGTGTTTTCTCAAAGAAATTATTATCCATCACTTTTCAAAAAGAAGACAAAAACGCCTCATCTCACGGTGTCACGATCCTAAAATTTATTTTATCATGTTCTTATAATTAAAGATTTAAAAAAATTTCATCAAAAAACGATTATGCAGTTGTTGTTTCAGATTTAAAGTTTTTTTTTAAAAGCAGGGGATCCTTTAACAAGACTTCGCATCAATCATAATTATATAAAGTTATATTATTTATTATAAAAAAGGCAAAGCATTAAATTAAACCTGTAACATATTAAATAAGTATATATTTCATATACAGAAAGTACTTATGAACCAAATTTAAATAAAGTAAAAAAAAACAATTGATACTGATAAAATTAATAATCACATTTTTCGTCTTCGATTTAATAAATGCATTAGATAGGAAATAGTTAATTTGATTATAGGAATCAATGTAGCACAAAATAATTAATTCGTTTAAACTGGGATGATTAAGAAAATATCACTTTTTTGATTCAATATATTTTATTTATGTGGAAAAAAAAATTTATTGTACACAAAAACAAAAAATATCCCGATAATTGTAGATCTTAATCTATTAAAGTTAAGGTTGCGCCATATATTTTGACAAATTTTTTTTATGTAACCTTGAAAAATGTAAAAAAAAAAATTAGTTTTAAAATGTTTTTTGATAATAATTTGGAAAAGATTATTGGTTTTTGGAAATAATATCATAATAAATTGAATATTATATAATAAAAGCTGTAAAAATGCCATTAAACTTATAAAATGAGATGTTAGATATTTTATAACTCAGAATCTTATTTTTTTAAATCATAATTTAATTAATAAGTTATTAAATTTTTGAGAATTTTTAACTAAATTAATATATTATTACATTTTAATCTAATTGCTATAAAAATTGAAATGCAATAAAATCTCAAAATTCTCAGAATCTCATTTTCTTGAAATTGATTCAGCATATAATAATACTATAAAATAAAAGATATTTAATTATTTAATCAAATTAAAAAAAATGTTAATATTTTGCAAAAAAAAATTCTAATAATGTTTAAATATATACTTATTAGCAAATAGTAATTTAAATATACAGTCAACATTCTTTATAATTATACACTACTTAAGACTAAAAATAAAAATTGATATTATAGTATAAAGTATCTATATAAAAAGATTTATTATAGTATTATTAAATATTAATTCTAAAGAATATGTGACTATAAAAATATCGTTATTATAAAGTTAATTTTATATAGTATTAATAGGTATTAGTTTTTATGAAAGATATTATAATAGAAGATTTATATAATGTAATTATATAGAGAGTAATTATAAGGAAGGTTGATTGTAATTTATTTAATTTTAATAATAAAATTCACAAATTAAAAGTATTATATATAAAAATATATTAAAATATTAAAAATAGTTATTTTATCTTTTATAATAATTTTAAAAACAACTTATTATATTTTTTTAGATAATAATATATATTAGTTTATAAGATGAAATAATTATTAATAAGCATAATTTAATATATAACTAAGAATGCTATCCTAAACTACTAAAAATTAGTTTCAGTTAAACAAAACTAATTTTAGTAGTTTCAGCTATTAACTAAACTAGTTTTAGTTATTCTAAACCACAAAATTTTAGTTTCAAATAGCAACACTATATATAACTTTAAATTTTAATTTAATAAAGCATTTTTAAGATAATTTATAACAAATAATGATAGATTTGTATCAATATAACTTACATAAATTATCAGCTTTTTATAATATCAAGCAGAAATCTGATATTTATATTATAATTAATACAAATCTTCTGTTAAAACTTTAATAAATGATTAGATTAAATCAAAAAAAAATAATTAATTAAAATAAATTAAGTAAAATCTTCTTTAAATTAATTTGATTAAAAGTATAATAAAAATATTTAAGTTATAAATAATAATACTATTTAATTAAGATTATTAATATGAGATCTTTGTAATAGAAAAAAAAACTACTAGAAAAATATTTTACTTTTATATACTAAAAATAATTTTTTAGGCTAAAATATATTTAAATAATTTCCTCCTCTTTTATTATAAAGGTTTCATATTATTAAAAATTTAAGTTTAAAATTAATAATACTATTAACCTATTTTTTATTATTTAAATTAATCAAATTTTAATTCTATATCTAATTAAGTTTTAACAATTTTATTATATTTATATATATGTAATCCAAATTATTTATTAATATCAAAAACTGAAAAATACATTTTTTATTTTTTATCATTATTTATAAATATTAGTCCAAAACGTAGTGAAGGACTATATAATTCTATGCATCATTTGACTCAAATATTCGCATTCCCCTCGCTTAATAATTGAGTCAATCAGTACTATACATGAAGTCAAAATAAAAACCAAAAGTCAAATATTTCGACTTTGAAGGTCAAAGTCAAAATGAAAAGTCAAAATGGTCAAAATTACGTCATATCACATGATTTTTATATATAGAAAAAATAAAAAAAACAAAAGATGTATAATCTCAATTAATATTACTCTGATTAGTATGTAATAACTATCATTCGATTTCCTTATTCAATTCCTTCTCACTCTTTCTCATTGGATTTTTTCCAAGAATTTTTACTTAAAAAAGTATCCGTTCAATGGCAGCTGCAGCTTAACTTATGAATAAAACAAAAAATCCTTTCTTTCAAAAATATTCCTCTCTTTGTTTCCCATACCCCTATCCAGTGATGTATATTTCCTTTGTTCTAAGCATTTAATATCCTAGTTATATGTCCCAACTATATGTCCTAACTATGTTCTATATATATTCCAAATGTTCTATCTGTTTCATCAATATTCCATTAGTGTCCTAACTATATCTCATGATAATACTGCCCCTATCCACATAAAATTTTCGAAATAGTCTAAACTAAAGATGGGAACAGTAATTAATATGTTACAACTTTTAATGTTACAACTTACGTTGCAATTAGTTTTAACCTATATATGTTGCAACTAATTTTAGCTTATATTGCA